AATAAATAAAGCAGACAAAACAACAACAAACAAACAAAGAAACAATAAGATAAAATCACGGGAATGTAACCCGAAGCCGAAGACGGTGACCCCCAGTTGTTGTTGTTGTTTTATTTCGGTTGATATTCTTAAAGGGAAAGACAAGGTTAGAATAAAAACTTGATTTCAGAAAAAGAATACTATAAATAATAAGTCTGCAAATTTTCTGCCGCCAAATAATAATATTAAACGAATGATAACAAAATTTAAATCGCTAAATCACCGATTTCTACAAATCGGTAAGCGCGGCCATGTTTGTGTATTGGCCGTATAAAAACAGGTGCGCGTGATGTCATTTCCCCACATCTTTAGATTCATGATAAATCTAGTTGAATCGTAAGGAAATATTAATATAATAATTAAATATTGATCAGACAATTTAATTTTCACAGGAGGTGTAGAGGAGATTTTTTATGGTTCAAAATACGTAACAATATCAAAAAAAAAATAATAAAAGATAAAGAAACGTACGGCTAGCCAAAAGTTCTAGCCGTACGTGAGTCACGAACGACTAGCCAGGACGCACTGTATTGTCTAGCCGTACGGCAATTTTCAAAATTATATGGAAGTCGAACGTTATAAAATTGTTGATTTTCATGCTTATCATTTGTTGTTTTATTTGTATGAATTATTAAATCATTTTTGTTAATTTTAAGCACATGGATCGAATAAAAAATGATCGGAGTGGAATAAATAAATAAAAAGAACATTGAATGAAAAAAAAACGGTGAATTGCAAAAATAATTATATAATTTTCAAAACAGTAGATAAATATCGAACATAAAACATGCAACGTTTAAATAAATCATTCTTTACGTCTTTTTACAATTACACTATGTTATATACCGCTTGTATTATTATCAATGTATTAATATCAGGGTTGTATATTTTTTGTAGAGATTCAATGATACATTGCTAGTCTGGTTAATTGGCCTATATCGAATATTTTAATGATTGATTTTTTGTAAATGATTTGTACATTGTTCGGATATATTAATCAATAAATGATTGATACGCTATTTCTAAACATTTATGTTTTTAAAGATTGTTTCATAATTCCAAAGTAAAGTTTATTTTTGTAACATAGGCCTCCGGCCCAAAATACAACATAATACAACAAACATGAAATAGCAATGGTAAAATACAATGAGATGATCATAGATATACATAGTATATTGTAATATAAACATTGGTAGACATCATATCAATTTTTTTTAAAGATATATAAAGAATTTCGTAGATCACTTGTAGATTACACTATATAATTACCTTTATATTGTTTTATGTATGTATTTTTAAGTACTTAATTGGCGTCTATATTTAAGTGCATGATCGAGAAAACGTGAGATATATAATGTCACATCTGCGTTTCTTACAACAGATATAAATTTTTCACGTGAAGGATTTTTCACCAGTATATCTGGTAGAATGTTTTTACGTATAGAATTATATATCATTTCATGAAACGAACAAAATTTGATATATGTAATACATAATTTTGATACAAAAATATTAAGTATCAAAGTCCCGATAAAATTAATGGTAGAAATGAAATAATTGCCGTTTCGTTAAAATTCAGATCGCTTTAATTCTATGAGTAATATACTTTTTTCCAATCGCATCTTTCCGACTCTTTCCGTCAAACTTCGGATCATAGTCGAGGTGTTCCAGTGCCATTTGCAATGGCGTTCAACGCTAAAAGGTCGACACACGCACAAGCGGAATGATAGCGTGTCATCGCCATACGATGCATGGCGATGCGAAGCATAATTTCTAACACTTATTATTTCAATTCATACGAGGACCTTTAAAAGTACGCGTCTTTAGTAGTATTCTTTTTGAATTATGGAAAAAAAGTTTAGTATTTCGTCAAACTTAACAATAGACAAAATGTTTTAATATCCCACATGCGTGTAAAGGGGTGGCTGTCGTAAAAATACAAATACTATGTGGACTCGGCCTAGTCAATTTTCGTACTCAGTTAGTTAGTTATTCAGTCATATTTGAGGTTTTAATTCTGGATTTCACGATCCTTATTGAATTATATACTTCATCCTCAATCATCAACACCATCCAAGTAAAAAAATGAGACCTGAAATTTGACATGCCAGCCGTCTTTCCCAGAAATCTGTATTCTGTTGGGACGCTCTTTAAATTGTCCACGTATGCTGGTGGGTGCTACATCTTTACAAATCCTTCCGGCTGGTGAATACACACACAAAAACAACAACTTTTAAAGTCATCATATAACACACAAAAACAACACATATGCAATAAATACACTTTAAGTATGGCCAATCAAACCAGGAATGACATAAATACGGGGGCACTTCAAAATGTTAAAGAACGATGCGGGTGTACATAAGTCAGTCTACCGGCCATATTTTGGGTCTATTTGGAGTAAACAGGTTTAAAAGCTGTCAAATATTTATTGAAGTCGGTACATAACGTACCATTGGTTGAAGTGGTTATTTTAATCATCTGTAAATAATTTTATTTTATTAAAAAAAATCCCCTTTATTATTGTTCCAATGAAAATATAAAAGCACGGCATGATATAGGTAAATTAAAATGTTCAAAGTAAATACTTCCTCGTACATTATATATTATTGACATAATAAAACGAAATAAAAATTTAATGCGTATATAATCCAAGATTATATACATTTGTATAAACAAAGGTAATTCTACACCTTAGTGACCTTACTTAACTTCCTTGTCTACCAAAAAGGAACATTGTGTAAAAACATTAATGCCATGTTTTTCGGTGGTTTTTTTTTAATTATTATTCTCTAAAAGAATATATCTTAAGGTCCAGTCCAGTCAAGTTTGGCGACATTAAATGTTAAAATCATCCTTTCCTTCAGAAACCGGTCTTTACATATTGAATATAATCGATGCAGATGATTCTCTATTTATTACTTTAAATTAATGCTAGTAACTATCAAAAGAACAACGCAACCTTCTTTGAAATAAATTTCCGTTTGCATGAACAACGGACCAGATTTATGAATCTTTTTGAGAACTTTTTCCTGATAAACGTTAGAAGGTACACCGTTGTTCAATATTTAGGTTTTTTTTCGGCCGTAGGCTGTTTGTTTCTATCGCGACTTCCGGTAAATTAACAGGCTATTTGCCATCACTTTTCCGGTATTTATCGAACGCGTAATTTCATGTGTTAGTAAAAATAAATACATGATATAAATATTAAACACTGAAACCAGATTAACAACAGCTGGAATTCTATTTTGATAAGATACGTCTTGTTAAACGTTTACTTCTTTAGTAAATTTATAAGCTTAAAAGGAAAGAAAACTAACAAGCAAAAAATAAAAACTAAGTGCTACGGAAAGATGATATTAAGAGTATTTTATTTGAAATGAAATTGGATCAGAATAAATTTTAGACGTGTAAACATCCTGGTCTCTGTAAAACTATACATTTCCAAAGTGTATATTTTCACAATTGTTAATACAAACATAAATAACTACGAGGTTTTTATCATCTCATTGAAATTCTGTGCACGAGACGTAGGCCTAAGGACATTTGTTTTCCTAGCTTTCTTTTGTACGGCCATGAATGCTTGTGCAACAATATACACTTGTATATAGAGTCGTAACAAAAAAACTTTATCTTACTAATAAAAGTTTTGAAAACATTTTATAAATTAACGAAATAACCAGTATTTGCATGATCCTTTATATTAGTAACTTGTGTGCTAACTTCCTAGATGACGAAGCAGCTGTATGGGTAATGAGACACGAGGTTATTCCCACGGTCTAAATTTGTAAACAAAAATTATCATTTTTATAAATTTAACACGGAATAACCTTACATAGATCAACGCCAATTCTATTTTTTTATATTATATAATCATATATGACTGCTTGCTCTTTTTTCAAGAACAGATTCTCTCTAATCAATTCAGGAAATTTCTTTAGCTCAAATCGCACCTCTAAATCACTACTATTTAAATTTTAGAAAATTCGCTAATCCAGATCGAGTATTAAATTTTGGATCATTGAATTAAATTGAGACAAATTTTGCCTGTGCAAATTGGACTTGGAAGTATTGCTCCTTCAATTCGAGTCTATATATTTCGCTTACTCAAATCTTGTCTAGAATTTTGTAAGCTCTGGCAATTTCGCTGATGGAAATTAAGGCAGTTAAAATTTTGTTTATTTAAATCGAGGCTGGACAGTTTGTTTATTCAAATGAGTTTGGGTGTGTCTAGAAATACTGCTTATTCAACTCGAATTTGGAAAGTTTGCTCATTCGAAATCTATCTAGACTAATCGAGTCAAAATAATGCTGATTATTCGAATATTGTAGCGTAAATTAAATGGATAATACGTAATGTATACCGTGTGTTTCGACGATTTCGAAATTCAATTCATTTTTAGCTGATGGATACCAAAAAGACAAAAGTCCTTGCTGTAATAAGCTTAAGCTAGATGATAAATTACATTGTTATTAAATTTTGCAATTAATTAGTATGCGATATTTTATGTAATATTGGGAACCTGACATCTGATGTTTATTAAGCTTTATTTACATGAAAATCAATACACATGAAATATTTCATTTTGTGAACATCAATATATTTTAACATTTGTCATCATGTAATGTTTGGACATCTATTGTCTCTCCAAAAAAATATTCAAAATGTTTAAGCATTATTATTATGCCTCTTTACTGAAAGACATTTTCAATTTGTACATCACGCAACTTTTGCCTATTTAGCTGGTGAATATGATGTGATATGTACTAAAGAAATTATATTGATCAATGCTGTATGTAAAATTATCAGTGTGCTAAGTTTATTTAGCTTTGATATTTTTTTCTGATTGATAAAAAAAGTGAAAAAAAAGAAGAAGAAAAGCAGCAACGATATAACAAGGTTTGGCAGGGTCGAGTATCTTTCTTTTTCTTCAAGTTCTTCTCGATTTCTTTAATTACAGAAACACGGAGCCTTATAAAGTATGGCAGTCGGACACATGTAGAAGATGTATTTGCCGATATGGAGGGTAAGTGTATATATTTATTTCGCTCTATAATATATTACCACATCTAACTGTAGCTTTTAGAAATTGTTCATATAACAATGGTATTTACTTGACTTTTGTGTAAATCAAGTCGCAGGTCCCACCCAATTTTTCATATATCATTAGAAAAATATCAAAGCCCAAATTCTAACCTTCCGTCTGATTATTATATATATATATCACATATGTACATTTGTTGTGTATATTTGTAATCTAATTAAACAACTTAATGTCTTTCTGATGATGAATGACATTTGATAAATGTAAAACCAAATTATTCACTAGCTTTGTGATTATGTATTGCGTAGAAATAATGTCAAACCTGTAATATTACGTGGTTTTGTATGTGAGTACATCACAAGTAGACAACATATAACTCTTATGAGAAATAAGAGACACAAGTGTATTCTATGACTACATGTTTAATACTGGAGATAAACTCTTGACAAGAACTGTTGGACTACTTTCTAAGCATGCGCATGTATAGATTTATATAAACAGTCTCATAATACAAAACGAAACTATTTGGCGTCTGTTTATTTGTTTGTTTGGTCTTTTTTTCAAGATTGCTTTTATCACATTTCTTCAGTTATTGTGCCCAGTGGAGATATTTCACTTGCAATACTCTTGTGACTAAACTAAGGTGTTTAAGAGGATGGAGACATAGAGGGGATTATAACTGTAATATCCGTGAGTATCATTATTTTTCTGACACTTTTATCTTATTGTATTTATTTATTTTATTTCTTTATTTAACTATTTATTTATTATTTTATTTATTTATTTATTAATTTTTATTCATTTATTTATTTATTTGATTATTTATTTGTTATCTTATTTATTATCTTATTTATTTATTTAACTTTAATTAATTAATTTATTAATCTATTTATTTATTTATTTTTAATCAACAAATGTTGCTTATTACAGGGGTAACTGAACTTGCCTGTGACAAATATGTATTAGATATGTCGCAGTCCAGAAGGGTGCTGGGCTTGAGGGTTGCTGCAAAAATGCAGAGACTCCTCTCAGAAAATATTTATTATCAAACAATATGAAGTCGGGCTCGCGCCATGAACACCTTCAATACGAGTGCAAATACAAAATAATGACAAATGACACAAAATCATGAATGATAGATACAGACATTCATATTTACCTGCAAAAATACAGAGACGCGCTCTCAAAAATATTTATTATCAAACAATATGAAGTCTGGCTCGCGCCATGAACACCTTCAATACGAGTGCAAATACAAAATAATGACAACTGACAAAAAATCATGAATGACAAAATATAGAATAGCAAGTATGGGATCAATACAGACATTCATATTTACATGACGAGCTCTCAATATTTGTTATCAAACAACTCGTCATGAAAACGTGCGGATGAGTGAAGGTACTTAGTGCGGAAATAAAATATTTAAGAATGAGATCCGCACCAGTGGCTAGTGGCTAGTACATGCTTGTTAATAAATGAACGAATGAAGAAATGAATGAGTACATGAATAAAAGGATGAATAGATGAAAGATAGGAAAAGAGACACAAATATAGGACTTCACAAGATATATACAATAACAAGTACAACAGACATGGCATGGACATGTACATAACATAATCTACGGTATACAATACGAGACATACATTGACAAACACCATATAACATTAACACATCAATATGACCCTGTGACAGATATAGGCTACATATTTCTTACATAAATGCTCAAGCACTAATATAAAACTAGGCTATGTATAAATTACAGTGATCAGGCCCCCACACTGAAGGGCAGTTCTAGGGGTATACACTATGTGTTGTGGATAGGAATATTGTACACTAAACACAGCAGAAGCAAAATACCATTTTCGATCTTAAAATGGGGAGGGGGTCTGTGTTATTTCTTATACAAAAATTCACAAGTGTTTACAACATTTTAAAATTATTTTCTTTTGACATTTTCCAGCAATATGTAGGCCAAACTGTGGATTGGTCGGAGAGTGTGTCGCCCCTGGTAAATGTGACTGCAAAGGACTGGCAATAGGTCAATATTGTCAAGAGCGTAAGTAATTCTTTTCAATTATATACCACGAAAACGATATTTTTTTGTAATATTGATAAGTTAGATAAGTTAGGCCTGGTGATGAATCAAGTCATCAAGAAAGCAAGACATTCAGCCTGTTTTTCCAGGTTACATGTAACAGAATCAAAGTACGACGGACTGAAGACGATCTAGTTAATTTTGATACCTATCATTTTAGACTATCAGTACTTAAGCCGTTTTGTATTTATTATTTAGATCAATGTAATAGCTAGAGCTAAATCTTATTCCTCTATTTAACTGGAACTTATAAATCTTCTTTTTTTAGTGATATGTTCTTATCAGAGACCATGTTACCCAGGAAACTGTTATTCTAATAACAGATGTAACTGTACCAGTGGATTCACAAAAGAAAGTTCGGCGTCGGAATACGGCTGTTTAAAAAGTACGTTTTATATCAAAGATGCTGTTTGTTTTTATCTATACTCTGCAAGAATCGGACAAAAATGAACTACATTTTCTTACACATTATAATTATGATCTTACATTAATAATAGCTAATCGACCTATCGTTTTCAGTCTTTTGGACGGGCCGAGAGAAAATATACACGTATTGATAACAGTTTTTTATAAAGGAAAAACAGAGTGAGCAAATGATCTGAAATTGTGCACAGAAATTATTTGTCTTCACCTACATCAAATGAAACATGAATCTCAAAAAAATATATCCAACCCCGTAATGTCAAAATATCTATTTTATCGTTTTGATGACACGACATCATGCTTTTTCTCTTTCTTTTTCTTTCTTTTTATCGTTTTTTTAATAATGTCAAAATTAAGGAAACTTGGTCACATAAAACAGTTTGCTAATCGAAATATAATTATTTACTTAATTTACAGTTGACACAAATAACAAACCGTACATTGGTAAATCAACAAGTGTCATAGAACACACTAGAAAGACGGATAAAAAATTCCTTTTCTACTTCTTGTTGGACGGCACGGATGAGACAATGCGCAATCTTATTGTTTGGAGTAATCAAAGGGTGTTTAACATCATGCGTTTCACATTCGAGGTTAGCTACGAGCCACCTGAGCCTCTGGCTGAAAGACCGGTGTATGTTCATGAGACAAAAGTTGGTATTACAGAAGGGAAAGTTTTACTTCGAGTTCTAGATTACAAAAATGGTATATAAGATTCAATCATTGTTTCTCTTTAAATATTGCGATATATCATATAATACCATGTCATGTCATGTCATAACCAAAGTTGCAGTCCTTGTTTGTTTACATATATTGCGCATACACGTCTTTGATGAAAGAACAGACTTAAACCAGGTTTGTTTTCATTAAACCTCGCATATTACTCTAATCATTATTCAACTTGGCTACACTACTATGATTAATTGTGTTTGTATTGTAATTTTCACTATCATATCGTATAAACATACATATATAATATCATCTCATATAGGGTACTTATCGCACCACCATATATTTTCGATTCGTTCCGTATCTTACCATGACATATAGGGGCAGGGAACATATTCGAATGATGGCCCCTGTTAATTGTTTTTTAATAACTCAGACGTTTTGAATGTCCTGGAAACTTTTGATATATCTCTGTCAATGAAATGTTTTCTTGTTTGTGTCAAGTACGTATATTTACCTGTTTGTGTGTAGGAAATGAGCAGTCAAACTCCCCACAGCGGTTACGTCACGCTTTGCTCCTTTTGTTTCTGTACTGATCAGGGGAAGTAACCGCTGCGGGGTGTTTGATAAGCAGTATTTCATTCGGAACTGCCTCGGCTCACAGGTGGCAGTATCAGTGTTTGGACACCCCATCCCTATCTGCCTCTGGACCCCTACTACAACCCTGAAAAAAAATAATTCAACACTCTAAGGCTTACTATAAGGTACCAAATACAAAACCTCCGATAAAATTATATATATATAAAAAATTGTCCACTATCAAATTATAGTTATAGAAAGGTGAAAAGCCCACTATATGTTCATTTCCCAAACAATGTGGAACACGGGAAATCGTCGTTTCGGCGACTGAGGCGCATTCCGGAGGCATTTTGCTGCATCATTCATTTACATCAATAAAAAGAACTTGAATTATACAGCTTACTTAATTCAAGTTTAACGAATATCAATATTCTATCGATTTTTTCTATTTCACGGTATTTTTTGACTTGTCGCTGCCATTTTGGATTCTGATACCTATGTGTTATACGCGATCTGATTGGACGTCAAATTTGGCTCGTCCAATCAGATCGCGTATTTCAACCCAGGTATCAGACTGCAAAATGGCTACGACAATTAAAAAAATACCGTGAAACAGAAAAAATCGGAATGATAGTGATATTCGTTAGACTTGAATTAGATAAGCTGTGGAATTCTAGTTCTTTTTATTAATGTTAATGAATGATGCAGCGAAATCCTGCCGGAATGCGCCTCAGTCACCGAAACGACGATTTCCCGTGTTCCACATTGTTTGGCAAATGAACATATAGTAGGCTTTTTACCTTTCTATAACTATAATTTTGATAGTGGAAATTTTTTTTTATATATATAAGTTCATCGGTGGTTTTGTATTTGGTACCTTATAGTAAGCCTTAGAGTGTTGAATTTTTTTGTCAGGGTTAAAGTATGGGTGCAGGGGCAGATAGGGGTGGGGTGTCCAAACACTGATACTGCAACCTTTGCCTCGGCTATTATCTATAGTAACCTCGGAAACAATACGGATGGAAAGTAGTTCTACCACGTAGTTTCAGATGTAAACAGAAACAGAGATAATGTAAATCGAATGTATATATTTGACATCTAATGTCTGTTCCGGTACTCTTATGCTTGAAAATATGTCTGACAACAATTTGTAATTTAAATATGCCCACTGATGTTCAATTTTAAACAAATCCGACTAAATGTCAACAGGTTGGTTTTTTGAACTTTCGGTTTCTTAGCGTAGGTTAGACCGAAAGACGCATCCGTTCTGTGTATTCATACTATTATGTTCGAGGTCCTTATCCGAAGTCTGACGGAAAGGATCGAGTAGTTGCGATTGGTAGTATTTAGGGGTTTTTATCCGAAACTAAGCATATTGGTAACTTTGTATGTATTTGTGACTCTCTGAATGGAGGTGAAAATGTTAAAAATCAAGCTTTGACAGTTGGCGCCAAACAAGTAAGAAATTTTGGATAATTTTTGTGAAAAATCTAAACATATGACAGACTCTTTATTGGTCATTTTTGAAAATGTCATTGATTTCACAATGTGTTACTAATATTTTAAGGAATATGGCGAATTCTAGAGTAGGTGCTTGCTGCACCTTCATAAGAATTGCCCATATTGGTATATTTTAGGGATGGGGTATTTAAAATATAAATTGCTGTCAGTCATTATTTTTAGGAGCATTGCATGCAAACTATTATTTTCTCCACTGGTCATAACTACCGTATAAGTTGACTCTTATTGATTTTGGAGTCACTAGGTCAAAGGTCACAGCGGCCTTTAATGTCAGAAAGGTTTCCATAGATCATCTTAAAATATATTAAGGACAAAGTCTTTCTATTTCAAAAAGCAATTGGTTATAACTAGCAGATGACCCCTATTAATTTTTAGGTCACTAGATCAAAGGTCAATGACACAGGGACCTTTAATGTCAGAGTGTGTTCCGCTGATGATTTAAAAAATTGTTAATCACAATGACAAAGTCTTCATATTTCACATACTGATTTGTCATAACTTGTAGATGACCCCTATTGATTTTGGGTCAAAGGTCAAGGCCACAGAAGCCTTAAATGTCAAAATGGTTTCCACTTATTACCTTGGAAACTATTGATCAAAAAAGTTTTCGTATCTCACATACTGATTGGTCATAATTAGAAGATGACCCCTATTCATTTTTGGGTCAGTAGGTGACAGGTCAAAGGTCATGCTCACAGAGGCATTGAATTGTAGTATGGTTCCTGCTCATTATAATGAAAGCTATTTATCACAAAAAGTCTTCATATTTCACAAAGTGATTGGTCATAACTAGTAGATAACTCCTTTTGATTTTGGGGTCATTTTGGCAAAGGTCAATGTCACAGAGGCTTTTAAAGCCGCTTATTATCTTAAAAAACATTTATCACAAAGTCTTCAAATTTCACATACTGATTGGTCATAACTAGTAGATGATCCCTATTGATTTCTGGGTCACTTAGACAAAGGTCAAGATCGTTAGGGTTTAAAAGGTCAGAGTGGTTTCCGCTTATTATCTTGAAAGCTATTTATCACAAAGTCTTCATATTTCTCATATTGATTGGTCATAACTATCAGATGACCCCTATTGATTTTGGGGTAAGTAGGTTAAAAGTCAAGGTCACAGGTACCTTTAATGTCAGAATGGTTTCCATCATTATCTTGAAAACCATTTATCACAAACTCTTCATATTTCACACATTGATTGTTCATAATTAGTAGATGTCCCCTATTGATATTGGGATCACTATGTCAAAGGTCAAGGTCACAGGAACCTTAAATGTCAGAATGGTTTGCGCTCATTATCATGAAAACTATTTATCTATTTATCACAAAGTCTTTATATTTCACATATTGAATAGCTATATGTAGTAGATGACTCCCATGGTTTTTTGGATCACTAGTTCAAAGGTCTTGAGCACAGAAGCCCTAAATGTAAATATGATTTCCGCTTATTACCTTGAAAATTTGTATTATAAAGTCTTCCATGTACCTATATATGGCAAGTTTCTATAACAAAATTACCAATAATGTAAGTCAAGGGCTAGAAAGAGAGCATATGTGTCGTTCTACATTTCTTGTTTTTGTTGTGTCATCCCTGAAAATTTCCTGTCTGCTGGTGCCAATTTAGAATAAACTTAGCATTAAGTTACCCCTTGTTAAGTTTCTTAGAGTAGGTTAGAACGATAAACCATATTCTTTCTGTGTATTGTGTTCGAGGTCCTTATTCGAAGTTTTACGGAAAGGGCGGAGAAAATGCAATTGGTGCTTAGCATAATTATCTTATCCTTCCACCCAGAAATGAGGTCCTGAATAATACACACAAAACAACCTTTAAAGTCCCCAGATATCACACAAAAACTACAAAGATGCAAAATATACACTTAAAATATGACCAGTCAAAAGAGGGACCACTTTAAATGGGGCACATGAAAATTTACAGAACTATTTTCTAGACTGCAACAGGTTGGGACCAAGGCGACACTTATCACATAATACCATATTGCATCAAATTATATCATATCTCTTAATTAAAACAAACATATGCTATGCATACAATTTAATTTTTTTTAAATCTATGTAGCTATATTGTACCCTAACTATACATGTACATGTATACACACTAAAGATATTGATTTAAAATAACGTGTTTTATAAAGCAAAAATCTTTTTTTATCATGTGTCACACCTGGTCGTTTATTTATTTATTTATAAAATATTCATTTATTTATAAACACTTTAGATGAGCATCCTACACAAAAGTACGACATCAACTGTCCTTCATCAAATCCGTTAAATCCACAACAATTGTTTAATTGTACGATAGAGAATGCAGAATTCAAAACTCTGATAGAACATGCAGACACGTGAGTAGAATAAGAAAATTATGAAGTTAATGTTCCTTAGTAAGATCGAAACATCCTATGAAAGAAAATGAAACTTCTCAGCATATTTTGATCCGGCATATTAACACTCATTTTATTAAGGATCGTGTCATTTGGATTTGGGAAAGCAGACAAAAACCCACACGTCAAAACACTTAAACTTAGAATATTATAGAGTGGACACAAGCCCAGCCTTTCCAATGATTTATTAATTTACCACATGATTTGGATCTCGCATTTTATTTTACATGTGGTCAAGACAGTCTGTTTTAGATTGCTTATAACTGATAAAATGCCATTTTTATATAACAATACATGTACTTAAAAAAATTTAGCAATAATCATTCCAGTAAAGCCAAATTTATCTTTTTTAATTATTTTTAGGTTAAAAGTTACTTTTGTAGCTACAAATGGAGGTTATCGACAGATGACTTATGAAAACATTCTACGACCCGAGGAAAAATTCACAGGACAGACTAGTAGAAAAAATGTAATATTTCTATATATGTATCCAAATTATCTTTAAACACTCCCCGCATGTGATAGCAGAATACCCTTAAGTGCAAATATCTAGCTTTAATTTGAAATACTTTCATAAATAAAACGTATCTGGAACTTCAAAATACATATGTATTGTAAAACTCCTTCAATTTTAACAATAAAAGTAATTTTTAATTATAAAGCATGAATGAGAGCACATTGTTATGAACATTAGTGAGAAGGTGCCAGATTTTTTTATTACGTATTCATAATCAGAGTCGGAGTTGATATTTTCATGCTGGTGAGGAAGGATAGCGATAATGATGTCCGCTTGGGTCTACAGAATGTTAATTTCGGGAGACCTCGTCAATTACAATATGTACAGACATTATACGGAGTTTGACGGAAATGTCCAATAAGTTACGTTTGGGAATATTACTTTCACCAGTAATGGTTAATAACGCAAACCATTGGCAACTCTAAATGGGCCGTCAGGCATTTTTAATTTACACACAGGTGTTCGCCATAATTTTTGTCATGCCAGAAAGGGTAAAATTATCATACAATTATCTCCCCTTGATCATCAAGCCAGCACCTGTTTGGTATAATATGAGCCGCGTCACGACAAAACTAACATAATGCGTTTGCGACCAGCCTGCGCATCTGCACAGTCTGATCAGGATCCATGCTGTTCGCTTTCAAATTCGATAACAAGTAGAGAAACTGATAGCGAACACCATGCTGGTCGCAAACCCATTATGTTGGTTTTGTCATGACGCGGCTCAATTATATAGTAAATGGGTACTGGCTTGATGATCAAGGGTAGATGATTGTATGATAATTTGACCATTATTAGCATGACAAATGTGTCGGAATTGTGTTATCAATTTGTGATTAGTTTTTGTTTGCCCTTAAATGATGTCATTTTAACAGTAAATATATTTATTGTGACAAGTTGACGCTGCGAAATTGTTTTACGTCTGCATACAGAACAAGGCCAACATTCGACAAAATTTAACTGGTCAACCAATTATTTTTTCAATAATACATGTAATTGTTTTGTTTTGCTTTGTAGGTCTATTTCAAATTTGATTTCCAAGCCCCGAAACACTGCACTGAAGATGATATTGGCGGATATACTTTTACTGACTGTGTTAATTCAACAATGTTGCACGTCCCTGAAGAATTTACTAAAGTAAGGTTCTTTAAAGTAGTTATACCTCGTTTAAACATTCTTTTTTGGACATTTCGTAACAATAACTTTGTTAGATTAGAATTTTTCTACATTTTTTAATTAGTACTAATGGTTTGTTTGTTCACCAGAATACACAGACGTTCAGCTGATAAACTTGTCCAATTAATACTGTGCCCGGTTAACATCATCCATTGATTTTTAGCTAACCTGAGGACAATGTCCTCAACGTGAACTTTTGTGATGGCTCGTTGTCCGTCGTCCATCGTCCGTCCGTCAACAATTTTACATAACATCTCCTCCTAAACCACTTGCCAAATTTGTTGAAACATTGCAGGGATGTTCCTTGCATAAAACTCTACCAAAGTTGTTCAAAGAATTAAATTCCATAAAGAACTCTGGTTGCCATGGCTACCAAAAGATTTTTTTTACAAAAATCTTAAAAATTCTCTTGTAAAAAACCACACGAGCTAGAGCTTAGATATTTGGCATGAAATATCTTATAGTGAATTCTACCAAGTTTGTTCAAATAAAAGCCCTAGGGTCAAAATTGGCCCTGCCCCGGGGGTCATTGATTTTTCTTTTATGTATATAGTGAAAACTTAAAAAAAATCTTGTAAAAAACTGATAGAGCTAGAACTTAGATATTTGGCATGAAACATCTTCAAGTAGATGTCTACCAAAAAGCCCTAGGGTCATCATTTGCCCGGCCCGGGGGTCATTGATTTTCCTTATATGTTTAAAGTGAAACTTGTAAAAATCTGAAAGAGCTAGCGCTTAGATATTTGGCATGAAACATCTTCAAGTAGATTTCTACCAAATGTAGCCAAATAAAAGCCCTACGGTCTGAAAATTAGCCCTGTCCCGGAGTCATTGGAGTCATTGATTTACATTATATGTAAATAGTGAAAACTTTCTTGTAAAAAAACCAAAAGAGCTAAAGCTTAGATATTTAGCATGAAACTTTTTCTAGTGGATGTCTACCAAGTTTGTTCAAATAAAAGCCCTAGGGTCAAAATTTGCCCTGCCCCGGGGGTCATTTTTCCTTACATCTATATAGTGAAAACTTAAAAAATCTTCTTGTGAACATCCAAAAGAGGTAGAGCTTAGACATAAGGCATGAAACATCTTCTTGTGTATTTCTAACAAGTTTGTTCAAATAAAAGCCTTAGGGTCATAATTGGCCCTACCCCATGGGTCATTTATCCTTATCAGTGTATAGTAAACACTTTAAAAAATCTTCTGAAAATCCAAAAACACTAAAGCTAAGATATTTGGCATGAAACATCTTCTAGTGGATGTTTACCATGCTTGTTGAAATAAAAGCCCTAGGGTCAAAATTTACCTGGCCCAAGGGAATCGTAGTCGACAGTTCAATCCCCCAGCCAGGTCAATGTGTGTTCTCTTTTTCTGTTATATTTTTATTAGCTCACCTCTCACTTAGTGACACTTAGTGACAGGCTGAACTATTTAATTACATGGGGGCCACAGCTAAAGTTAGAAAACAACAACATCTAAACTACTGGTTCAATTTGAAATAAATTTACACAAAATTTTCCATGGTGACATTACACAAAATTGTTCAGATTAAACTGTCCCTTGTTTTCAAATTGTGCTTCTTGGGTGAAACAGGGCTCAAGTTTGACCTATTTCTCAGGTGAGCGATCCAGGGCCCTCTTGGGCCTCTTGTTAAGATTGTACTTCATCCAAAACTAGTTTTACATGTTTAACAACTGTTTTCTACTTATAACACCTGGTTGTTTCATATAACACTCCTTTCTCTCGTTTCCTACATATGACGCTTGTTTCCTGCCTAAAAACCCGTTTACTATATGTAACATTTCTTACATTTAACTTGTGTCCTACATGCAACTTGAGTTTACTACATACGAGTTTAACTCTCGTTTCCTACATACGATGTATAACTCTTGTTTCCTAGATAAAACATCCGCTTCTTACGTACGATATAACTTGTGTCCTACATATATCTTTCTTTTCTACATATGATCCTGCAGATTACCGTCATATTACACTTATGTCTGTCATATTTTACTAGAGTTCTACATAAAATTCCCGTTTTGGAGGTGTAACGCCATTTTTCTACATGTAATATACCCGTTTCTTACATATAACTTTTATATTTCATATAACACTATTGTCGAACATATAACACGTGTCTTATCAAGATACTTTTACACGTAATTGATCTTTAATTGAAAGTTGTATCTATAAAGGAACCAATCAGAGTTCGCTGGAAGGGCTGGACAGACGACAAGTATGGATCACAAATGTGGATGTACTATTTAGAGCTTCACAAACTTGTTGTAAAAGATGCTACACTAGAACTCACTGAACTTAACCCAATCAAACCTATGGCCAGAAATCAAACGTTACACATGGGTAATACGTCACACTACCAGACGTTTACTCCTCTGGAACCAGGAATGTATAGGTATGTTCTAATTATTTCACCATGGAAATTATTATTTCACCATATAGAAATCACATTTTTGATCCGTATACTATGGTGGTAGCATCCATTTTAAAGCCATGAAATATTTGACCGTCAGTTTATAAAATATCGATCCATGAGATTTTGTATCGAAATTGTATAAAATGTTGCTCGTGTTTGTAGTAAAAAGTTGAGTTTTTAAGCGACATTTTCTGTCTACAATACATAGTTGACTAAGCCACGCAAACACATATGACTGAAGTGTACTTTAGGCAGCCGATCGCGGCCATTATAATCCGCGATATTTTGTTTTGATGCATACCTTGTAAAAAGTCGAGTTAAAGCATTAAGCCTCGAGTTATTATGCCGTGCATTGTCTCTGAGCAAAAAGCCGCAGCACTCACCGCGATATTTTGAGACCGTTGCTGAGAAACAAAATGTCGCGTCCTATAAATTATCCCCTCGATCTTTTTGTGCAATTTCTACAACACTGGCAAAAAATGTCATGTTATTTCCTTCTGTTCCTCAATTTTTTATAGACGAACAAGGGATAAAATGTAGGGTCAAACCATGGAAGCTACAGGCCACTGGATTCAAAATGTGCCTTGGTGTTTTCAACAACTGTTATAAAATATCGAGGTTTATACGTTCACTGATATTTTGTATGATTTCGGCAGAAATCTCGCGGGTTTGTTAGTTGCTCGCGACATTTGATAATTAAACGATAAAATTTCTCGCAAGGTTTTGTCTGTTTTATAATTTTTATTTCTTTTTATCTTTATAACAATGCTGGCTTTGAATTAGTCATGAAAACAATTAAAATCATTCTCACATCGGCCATAAGGTGTGTGACCAAGCAAAATTAGTGCGATCAGTGGAAGGAAATAATGTAAACCATTTAAACTTTGACGTCCTTTTTTAAAGTCTGGACACAATTTATTATTAATACCTATGTTACTATATAGTAATAAAATCTAAGGTATGTCAGGGCCATTATGGCAAGATCTGAGTCATTATGCAATTTTGGCTGCCTTGCTACTTGGCATTATTTTTCCATAATGGGCGAGTGAATGAGCGCACGTGCAGAATAACGTAATAAACTCTCAGTGACTTTCAAGATGGCTGCTGACGTTGAATGAACTGTAGTCACTTGCACACAAATATTTCAAAGTTTAAATGACATAATCACAATCACCAAAGTATAACATTGAAGATTTATAAACTCAAGACAAAACATGACACTCAGAAATTCCAAAAATGATTGACGGTAGAAAAGAGATCGGATCGGTGGCATTTAGACCTAGACATTAGACTCAGAAACCGTTCTTGAAGGCACAAAACATCATAAAAAACTGGCACAAGATCTGAATTTAATTCTCACAAAAATGTAAAGAGAAGGGTAATCTATCGTAAAAAAACATCAATAAAAGAACATTTTTTATATTTATTTTGTGTTGTCATGTTTTCTCAGTTAATCGGAAGGTTAAACTGTATGACAGATATTTGTTTACATTGACAACTGTCCGTTTTTTAGAAAGGGCGACAACCAAGATTGGCGGCGATGTCTTAACGTCGTATTTCGGACATAGGTATTAAAGACCTTAATACTTGGTTGCTGCACACCAGTATGCGATAATGGCTCTCAAATTTATTATGTCCTTCTGGCCATCGCATAATGGTGAGCAGCAACCAAGCCAAGTATTAACCTCTAAATAATTGTCTTTTATTGTGCAATAGATGTTATGCGCTTAATTGAAAAAAAAAGACAAAACAACTAGTGTAAAGCTATAAAACGGAAGGTTGTTTACTTTTTGCATTCTTCGTGTAATATTGAAATGAAATATTTACAGTAGCATTGAATATTGAAATGAAATATTTCAGTATCTTATTGGAAGTCAGGGATATTGCCAACAATTCACGGATAGCTCGACGGTTTGTCCTGTATGATAAAGAGTCAGACGTAGAGTTGAATCAGAAAAGTCCTAACGGATTGCACGTGTCGTCTGCTGAAAACCACACTGGCTTCAAATGGCAGTCTGCCGGAAGTGAAGGTAGTGATATCTGTTTATATGTAGTTAGATATGGATTATATCTCACCAAGGAGGGTGTAATTAAATGTAAACTTGTTTATTGTCACAAGATACTTTAAAATAGACATTTGTATTTATATGTCTCTAATTATCACTAGTTCGGACACAATGTCGAGCAGTTCACAATCTTGTCATTCTACCATACAAGAAAACATTAAATAACAAACTTCTTTATTTTATTTTGACATATAACTGTATTAAAAATCTTATGCCAAAGTTACATATCGACATACTGTAAAAGCAAAGTAAATATTGTGAAACAGAATTTCTTAAAAGTTTTCATGATCTTAACTATATAGTTTTATGACAGAAACAACAATGACACTTTTTACCATTTTTTTGAAAGTTGTTTGTTTCAAAAGTGTATGGAACTAATATTTGAAAGCCATCCCCCAATCCCCCATTTTTTCCCATTTTTCCAATATATTTTTTAGGAGAAATTACGGACATTGTAGTCAACTGGACTGGATATTTCATGAACAAAGCTCACGAGGAAGGTCATTACAATAATGAAATACAGACTTTTAAACCACAATTTGAAGATTTAGAAGATGATGGTATTCTTTACACGAGAAAGTAAGTCAGTGTGTTAAACATTTGTATGATTTATTATGGTGTGCATATTTTAATATTGTCATTGATGATGATTGACGGGTAGGCTAACGGCTGTTAATAAGAAGGATTAAGTTCGTTAATAAGAGGCGTTAAGATCTCAAAAAAGGGTTAATTTGGTCAATGAGGGTTTAAGGTTGTCAATGAGGGAAGGGTTCAGGCCATAAATGAGGGGTTAAGATCATCAATGAGGGATTAAGTTTGTCAATTAGGGGTTAAGTTTGCCAATGAAGGGTTAAGTTTGCCAATGAGGTGTTAAGGTTGTCAATGATAGGGTTAAGGTCGTCAATGAGGGGTTAAGGTTGTCAATTAGGGGTTAATGTTGTCAATGAGGGGTTCAGGTCGTCAATGAGGGGTTAATATTGTCATTGAAGGGTTAACGTTGTCAATGAGGGGTTAAGGTCGTTAATGAGGGGTTTAAATTGTCAATGAGGGGTAAAGGTCATCAATGAGGGGTTCAGGTCGTCAATGAGGGGTTAATGTTGTCATTGAAGGTATAAGGTTGTCAATGAGGGGTTTAAGGTTGTCAATGAGGGGTTAAGGTTATCAATGAGGGGTTAAGGTCGTCAATGAGGGATTAAGGTTGTCAATGAGGGGTTAAGGTTGTCAATGAAGGGTTAGGGTTGTCAATTAGGGGTTAAGGTTGTCATTGAAGGGTAAGGGTTGTCAATGAGGGGTTAAGGTCGTCATTGAGGGGTTAAAGTAGTCAATAAGGGGTTAAGGTTGTCAATGAGGGGTTAAGGTCGTCAATGAGGAATTAAGGTCATCAATGAGGGGTTAAGATTGTCAATGAGGGGTTAAGGTTGTCAATGAGGGGTTAAGGTTGTCAATGAGGGGTTAAGGTTGTCAATGAGGAATTAAGGTTGTCAATTAGGGGTTAAGGGTGTCAATGAGGGGTTAAAGTTGTCAATGAGGAATTAAGGTCATCAATGAGGGGTTAAGGTTGTCAATGAGGGGTTAAGGTTGTCAATGAGGAATTAAGGTCATCAATGAGGGGTTAAGGTTGTCAATGAGGGGTTAAGGTTGTCAATGAGGGGTTAAGGTCGTCAATGAGGAATTAAGGTCATCAATGAGGGTTAAGATTGTCAATGAGGGGTTAAGGTCGTCAATGAGGGGTTAAGGTCATCAATGAGGGGTTAAGATTGTCAATGAGGGGTTAAGGTCGTCAATGAGGAATTAAGGTCATCAATGAGGGGTTAAGATTGTCAATGAGGGGTTAATGATGTCATTGAAGGTATAAGGTTGTCAATGAGGGGTTTAAGGTTGTCAATTAGGGGTTAAGGTTATCAATGAGGGGTTAAGGTTGTCAATTAGGGGTTAAGGTTGTCAATGAGGGGTTATGGTTGTCAATGAGGAATTAAGGTCGTCAATGAGGGGTTAAGATTGTCAATGAGGGGTTAAGGTCGTCAATGAGGGGTTAAGATTGTCAATGAGGGGTAAAGGTCATCAATGAGGGCTTCAGGTCGTCAATGAGGGGTTAATGTTGTCATTGAAGGTATAAGGTTGTCAATGAGGGGTTTAAGGTTGTCAATTAGGGGTTAAGGTTATCAATAAGGGGTTAGGGTCATGAATGACAGTTTAAGATCGTCATTTGGGGTGTAAAAGTAGTCAATGAGAGGTTAAAATAGTCAACCAGTGCTTCAGGTTGTCAATGAGGGATTTTAGTCTTCAGTGAGGGGTTGATGTAAATGCATCACTCGATGACATCATATTTATAGGTTTTTCGATGACATCCTATTTATAGGTTTGTAAATGCATCACTCGATGTTATCATATTTATAGGTTTGTATTGCATCACTTGATGACATCATATTTATACGTTTGTAAATGCATCACTCGATCATATCATATTTATAGGTTTGTAAATGAATCACTCGATGACATCATATTTACAGGTTTGTAAATGCATCACTCGATGATATCATATTTATAGGTTTGTAAATGCATCACTCGATGATATGGAAGGGGAGAGAACTCGTGATCCTATCGCTAACATTCACGGTATTGTGAAATTTGAATACCAGTATACCAGGGACATTGGTTCACAAATACCTGGAGCAGTCTGGACGAAAGTTGAGCCAATTAGTGAAACGACCACAATACGAGAGCAGATGAGTAGCGGTAATGATAAATTCATATACTGTTTCCGGTTTACAATTACTTTAAGATTGTATTATATAAGCTCTTAGATTTATTTCTTACAATAAGGATAACTGCATCATTATACTTTTCAGCACACCATTCATAGGAGCTCGGGAACGGAACCACAGATTGTGTAGCATATTTCTGATCCTTTACCGGCTTTACATATTGTTTGTCAAACCTATAAATATCTTTTCACATCATCCGATAGTATAGTTTTTAGAAAAAAAAACTCAATTTATCAAAATCTGTTATTTGGAAAAGCGGTTCAAAGTTAATGGTTTATTTGTCAATTTTTTAAAAGAAACAGATCGTGTTGAATTGGCATTGTATTCTTTGAGGCGTATCACTCGGGTAGAAAGAAAAACTATCTAGATGTAGGAGAAACATTTTTTGAAAAGCTGTTACAGGATCGATAATATGCGCAATCTGCGGTCCCTTTTTCGAGTTCCTTTGACAGCAACATACATAGTGGATTTGATTTTGTGCATGTGTCTGTTTGTGTCATGTCTTTTCCATAGGCTTGTTATTCATTATTTGATATTTACCATCGTAAGATGTAGTAAAAAAGCCAAGGTTACATTTAGAGGTCAGATTTGTTGAACAATCAAATACATTTTTTACTGGTTGGGTAAGTTAACAGTGACACGATATACATAATTTCTGTTTTAATAACAAAATATACTACTAGTTTTATTTTATAAAGCAGTGATTAGATTTTTGAATTTTACCTCATAGAAACTAGCATATGTGTTTATTTGTAATAATTTTAATTTTTGTTAAAGACATTTACAACAACTGTGTTTAGTCCGTTTAAGACATAGACAGTTTTAATCATATTTAACATTGATCACATATCATGAAAAGATATTAATATACAATGTCAGATAAATAACTCTTTCAAGTCGGTCTTTATGTAGTTTTGTATGAATATATTCTTCAGGCGACCAGTTAAAGATAAGGGTTCGAGCTTATGATGTCCTTGGCAACACAAAGATGGACTCGACCATCGTGACAACAGACTTTACTAAACCCATTACTTCAAGTGCTGACGATAACACTACCACACATATTGTGCAAAATACTAACGTCAAACCCTTCAACTATTCAAGCAGGTATTTGTGTAATTTGTTTAATTCCTTACGACGGGGCAAACTTGCCCGATGAGTATGAAAGAAAATAACATAATAATGCCAGGTCCTTAATGTTTTTCTCCAGGTCCTTTACTTGACCCGGCAAGTGCTGACAAACATTTTATATAAGTGAGTATTGATATAGTCTATACTATTTTTTCATCGCTGTACCATATAAAAGAAAAAATGAATTTAAATCAATTTGTTTAAACTGATAATGACCAGAAATTTAACGTTTTCAATAAATATTTTCAAAACTATTTCGTTCTTCTATTTTTATCTTAGTTTTGTTCATATATATTGCATATTATGAAAAAAATCAAGTTTCATTATTTAACTTAGCGTGTTCCTATATTTATCTTAGCGTGTTCCTATATTTAACTTGGCGTGTTTCTATATTTAACTTAGCGTGTTCCTAGAAGCGTATGATACTGAAAGTGGCGTCCGTGATATAGGTGTTAACATAACAATCATGATGCAAGGTGTGTCTAACATTTCTGTCAGTAAAATGGTCAAGGCAAACACAGACGATGTAAGTATTCTTTCTTTCTTTTTTTTCTTCCTACATTCCTTCGTTCCTTTCTTTCTTCTCTCTTCCTTTCAGTCCTTGATAAACAATATTAATTCATATTCACGTACTTAATTTATATCTTTAACACTTACTGATTTATTCAATGAGAATAAGTCATAGAAGAGGTCGGTATTCTGGAAGTCGTAACCAGAAATCCAAAAATGTTGAAGTTGAATAAGATCCTCGTCACTTTGGGGATTTGAACCCATAATGACCCGATTAAGAGCCCCGTGCTTTATTTCTTAAAGCGGTCCAGCTCAACTTTGTAAAATATTTCTTAGACTTTCATTTTTTGTCACTTTGTGTATGTAGACCCTTTATAATGATACACATTTGCAATGTCGCTTTTCACTTGATAATTGTGACGTTTATAAAGATTTATATACACGGCTGGTGTCAATTTGTGGAAAAATGTCTTTTTTTCTCTCGAAAAAGATGCTTGGTGTACTGTAAATTTGAATTTATTTGACAGGCCATATATCGAGCCTCTGATTATATTTCCAAACAACAAGGGCCATATAACCTGTCAAAAATCTTGTTAACTTATGTCCTGAAATCGTCTGATCTCCTCAATGATGTTCATAGTCTTAATACATTGTACATGCAAAAATGAAATGCAAATATTTTCTTTGTTATCATCTTTACAGTTACATAGCAATATTTGTTTTTTATGTCAAAACTTTTTAATTGCAAGACGAATTTTAATCAAGGTAAGTAAGCAATAAACGTTGTTGATGTTCAAGATTTACTTCCCCTTCAGAAAAGACACCCGGACAGAGATAGTGAGTGCGTGACGTCAAGAGACAAGACAACCTGCTTTTTAAAGAAACAAACTGTGAACATAGACAATTGTTGGCTGACGGTACCAAACCAAGCGTTACTGTCGTCTGCTAGTGCCATAATAGATGTTATTGCCTATAACCAAGCCATGCTACCCAGCAGTGTCAGATTTACGGTATACATGTATACAAATTAAATGTGATAAACATGTTTTCTCCTTTTGACTTGACTAAAAATGATAATTAGAATGTTCTTTGACTTGTTTATACAGTAAAGACTCATTACAACGACACTGTTGGTTCCCAATGGATATGTCAGTATATCGAATAAGTCAGTATATTAAACTTTATCATTCATCATGTAATGATATGCTTATTCATTGGTATCTGAACATTTTGTATTTAGATCTATAAAAAATCTATATTGAAAGAAACATGTGTGTATGTGTTCACTTTATACATTACATATCATACATATTATACAACAAACAACAACTTTAGAATAATAATAACTAAAATATTTAAAGATTGGTATGAAAATGATAATAAAATACAAAAGGACTTACAATTATAGGACTTTTAAAAGTTAACAATCAACTAACCAAGCTTCAATACCTGTTTTAACACCTTGCGGCTTTTGTTCACGGCTCAATGATATGCGCGATTCACTGACCAAGTGTCATTATAACAGGTACTGATTGTATAGAAAATAACACGTTCGGTTTCCAACTTCATTGTGTCCGAGTCACAATACCAATTTTCCGTTATAAAAGATTATAAGAACGTTGACAAAAATTGGTTTTCATCAATTCACTGTCGTTATTTGAATTTGTCAACATAATGGATTTCGATGTTTTGAGTCCTGACTGCATTTAGTTCTCTTATGAAAGAAAGGCCTACAGTCATATGGAGCATTTTTCAAATTCGAGACTAAGTGTCATTGTGTCTTTGTGTAATTTTATCACATACCTGTAAAAATATAAAAAAGATAAAAGTTTTGAAAGAAAATGTATATAATATGTTAATATTGATAATTTTATGATAATTCAATGATAATTCCATAAGGATTTTAGAATACACGGGAGGCCGGTGTTATGGCCATGTCACGATAATCTGGGCTGCCGTGAAGGAGAGTGAAATACTTCAAGTGAATATTGATAAACTGGTTCATGACCAGAGTGAAATTGAAAAATCTACAACTTATTATAGAGCGCTTTTCGAATTAACCACGTACGAGTCTTAGTCACATTGTTTCTTTGTTGTAATACAAGTAGTATAGGGACCTCTTTGGCGCCACAACTGGCACAAAGAGGCCCCCATACTACTTATACATTTACCAAAGAAAATATCAATATATGCCACCATCTTATATTTTCAGATTCCAGAAATAACTGCATTAGATGGTCTTGTAAGCTGTAAGTTCTGTTTTAGTTTTGAGATTTTTTATTTCTTGTTAACCAGGTTTTCAATAAACATTGTACTGCCGAAAACAGGGGCGGGCAGGCGGGTGGGCGTCAACTTTGGTTTCAGCACGATAACTTGAATTTTCTATGGCATATTGACACCATACTTGGTGTATAGGTAGGTTATATCAAGACACAGCTTGAGATTGCTACCCAGGTGTCTGTGATCAAGGTAAATGTCACTGTTACTAAAAAAGAAATTTAGTTTCCGCTCAATAACTTTAGTTTGCTTTATTCTATAGACACCAAACTTGGTATATAGGTAGGTTATATCAAGACACAGCTTTGGATTGCTACCCAGGTGTCTGTGATTAAGGTCAAGGTCACTGTTACAAAAATAGAAATTCAGTTTCCGCTTAAAAACTTCAGTTCGCTAAGGCCTATTGACACCAAACTTGGTGTACACCTAGCTTATATCAAGATGCAACTTGTGTTTGGTACGCAGGTGTCTGTTATCAAGGTCAAGGTCAATGTTACTAGAAATAGAAACTCAGTTTCCACTCAATAACTTAAGTTCTCTTAGGCCTATTGACACCAAACTAGATGTATGGTAGCTTATATCAAGACGCAGCTTTGGAATGCTACCAAAGTGTCTGTGATCAAGGTCAAGGTCACTGTTACTAAAATAGGAATTCAGTTTCTGCTTTGCTTAGTTCTATTGACACCAAACTTGGTGTAGAGGTAGCTAATATCAAGACGCAGCTTGGGATTGCTACCCAGGTGTCAAGTTCAAGGTCACTGTTACTGAAAATTAAATTCAGTTTCTGCTCAAAAACTTCAATTTGCTTTGAACTATCGACACAAAACTTAGTATCTGGGTAACTTATATCAAGACACTATTTTGGCGGGCGGGCGTCAACTGTTACTAAAAATAGAAATTAGGTATCCGCATAATAACTTGAGTTTGTTTAGACCTATTGGCATCAAATTTAAAATGTGGGTAGCTTATATCAAGGGGCAACATGGGATTGCTACCCAGGTGTCTGTGAACAAGGTCACTGTTCCTTAAAAAAAATCAGTTTCCACATAATAACTAGTTTGCTGTGACCTATTGACACCAAACTTGCTGTGTCGGAAGCTTATACTAAGATGAAGCTTGGGATTGTTACTTAAATATCTGGGAGCAAGGTAAATGTTCCGTACACTTTGACCTTTGATACTTAATTAAGCATGTGTGTAGCTTGCATGAAAATTTAACCTGACATTGATACACAGGTATCTGGTATAATTTTTAATTTTAACCAGTGAAACCAATTTTATGTGTTGGTACAAAAAACAGCATCATTTTTTACTTCACAGCCATATTTCATTATTAATTCCTGTCACATCAAAACTTGGTGGTTGAAAACCTGCTTTTCGTCACATTGCGGCGCTTCTTGTTTTTCTTATATTTTTTTTTTATTTTTTGTTTATTCAATTGCTTTATGTATTTTCCATCTTTTAGTTATTGTCAGTAACTCAGACAGGCTAAATTTCGAGGTGATCATTTGACCAGAGGCCTCAGGGTTTGACCCATTAACATCCAAAATGACCTCATCGGGCATGTGATTTAGTCAGATTGTGCGTCATATTTGATAGAATTTTCTCCTGCATCTGGAATTTTTCATTTTCATCAAAGAAATTGCTAAAATTATACACATTTAACAAAGTAATTGGATGTGTATCTAAAAATGTATGTTTAGTTTAAGCCATATTTTTCACCCTTTATGGAGACTTAAAGATAAGTTTTTATTATTCTTTTCATTTCTTATTTTAAATACTTTTGTTTATTCTGATTTTATAGATAATGGACCTGAGTCAGCACGAGTGGAAAACGTGAAAACCGGAAGTTTCCGAATAGTTTGGGACTTTCCGACAAAATTGTCCTGCTATGCTATACAAACTTCAATTATTTTAGTGCTGTTCAAGAAGGTAAGAAAGGATGTTTACTGTTCATACAACATATTTCTAATGCATTTTATTAGTTATATAGGAGATTGATTATATCCTACGAAAGTAGGGATTAAATACTTCAACGACAGTACCCACTATTCTTAAAAAGAGGAATTTCACATTGGAACAATTTAAAAAGCGGAGTTTCTGATTCATACAATTGGTTAGGAGCCTTTTAATATTCATACAATTTAAATGGACAGAGTTTCGTTATTAATACCTTAAAATAGGAGTAGGTGGGGTTTCATTGTCATTTATACTTTATCAAATATGACGAGTTAGATAATATTTTCTTGACCTTTCTAACTATCGTTTCAAATGGGCTGACTACGCCAACTTTTGCTATTACTGTTGCTACTGGTCTTATAATTTTTTAGAACATCTAAACATTATTTTCCAGTCGTCAAACGGGGATATTGAATTAGTTACCCATGTAATTCCTGGTTCAAACACATATTTTGACGTGGCCAACCTAGACTCTGATACAGAATATTTACTTGATTTCATATCACAAATAGGTGATAAGAAAAATCCACCAATGAAGCTTACGGCCAGGACGTGTAAGTATATAAACGAATACATCCAAAGTTAAACATTGGCCAACATGGTCCTTGACTTTCAATCAATGGTCCTTCACCAATGTTGTTTGGGTTCGATTCCCGCCAGAAACTTTGGATGTTTCTACCTAGCCAGCTCAAGGAAGGTCAATGGCTGTACAGAAATAACGCATGGTGGAGCAAGCCACCAGGAAAGCGCAAAAGTTGCCGTATGACCTTCACTCTGTTGGAGTGACGTAAAACCTGACGAAAACAAACACGTTAAAAATGTCAGTGTTTACAAATAATATAATACTAAAAAGTAATGCCTGTTAACATACTTTTTGAATTGAATAATTAATCTGAACTGATCAAATATATATTTTCTTTATAATCAAGATACAGTACATCGGTTTTCTTTTTTTAACCTCTAAGTTATTATATAAACTAAATCGTATTATATTATAAAAACAGACATGTATATTTGCAACTCTATATTATGTTGATTTCTATTTGATAAACATGTATCTTTATTTCAGCTAAAGAGCCGGAAACTGGTCTGAGTGTTGGAGTCGTGGTCGGCATAGCTGTAGGTATGGTAATATCCCTCTTATAGTGTGACATCTTAAATTGTGACATCTAATAGTGTGACATCTTAAAGTGAAAAGTCTTATAGTTTAACACATCTTATAGTGTATCATCTTTAAGTGTGTCACCTTATACTATTAAATAAAATAACGTGGCACATCTTAAAGTGTATCACTGTGTATGTGACATCATTAAGTGTGGCATATTAAAGTTTGACATATTATTGTGTAACATCTTAAAGTGTGACATCTTATACTATGAAATCTTATAATCTTGTACATTTTAAAGTGTGACATATTCTGATTTATTTTTGATTATTTTCGTAGTTTTTAAATGCCGTCTGTAATGTGTAAATTGCTTTCTTTGTTCCCTTGACAATATTTACTTATTGATACATCTTAAAATTATTCATTAAAATTAGCAAGAATCTTATTCTAACCGAAAAAACTAGCAGTCGTATCTTTTTATTTTTACAGTATACTTATTGCAATATTGTTTTAACCCAGTAGATCAGTAAGGTTTTGTACTATTTTCAGGTGTACTATGTATTGTTGCCCTGGTGATTGTTATCTTTATATTCCTCGTTCGGAGAGGTTATGTGCATCCCCAAGAAAGAGCCCGCCGGGTAAAAAGGGCAGTTACTAGGAAATACAGACAAACCGTATATGGGGAGTCGGACACGATCAACCATCGCCATCCAACCGGTGTCTCGAATGAGGCATACGATGCTGAGAAATTTGGCAGTCCATATGACGTAAGTGGCAATTTGTATGACGTCACATCATTATCCATTATATAATGTACTGTCTGCAATTGATTTAAAAAAATTCACACTAGGGGGCGTGACAAATGTTGCATGAACATACTCAATCAAACTGGGTCTGTTATTTTCACTATTTGCCATTGTTTTCATGACTTCTGAGTGATCTCCCTTAAAAAAAAGAAGATATCATAAAACATGTAGATCTGTTTTTCTTGCATATCAGACAGGATTATCTATTGTTTAATAACCTGTCTTACATCCCCATATAAGACAAGTAGCTTTGTTATAATGACATCATTGTGCCTTTTATGAATGAATTGCGTTCTTAGGATGACATCATTTTACCCTTCTGAATGAGGTTCGTAAGTTAATACGCAACTGTAAGAAAAAAATGTGCGTAATGAGAATATCAGTTTTTGTTATTTCTGTTCTGAAACTGTTATGTAATATGCAAGAAAAAGAATCAAACCTCGGCTGTCAGTACAGAAAGGAATATCTACCTGTAGGGTAACTAACAGTTTGGCGGAAATTCGGCAGAGCCTCGTTACCGCCATAAACAGTTACCCTCGAGCTAGATATTCCGGTCTATACCAGCAGCTAGTGTAAAATTCATATAATATTTATTATAGTCCTTATGAATGAAATATTGAGTCATATTGATAAAAAAATTATTTTCAATATGAAAAATTTTTTTTCACAGCAGTGATACATATTTCCCGTCTTTTCACTGGTATCTTGCCGGACTTCTTTCTTCTAAATTCAGCTTATATACAAAAGTAACCCTTTACCTCATATACACGCGAAACAACGCACATTCGACCCACCCCCAATTTCTTAGGCCTCAAATAGTGAAAAAATGTCCTGTTGATCCTGAGAAATGTTGATTAAAAAAGTGACCACTTTTTGGGCGCGGCCCACCAACCAAAAGATACATCAGGGGGTTGCCAAAAGGGGGATGTTCCCCCTTGTGTTTGGGGGGTTTGAAGGGGCGGAGTCGCTTTATCTCAATCCATTTAGAAGTTGCAGCACTTTGAAGTCAATTTTGATGGAAAAAAATCCATGCAAAATAGTGATTTTTGTCAATTTTGAGATGTCCCCTCGTTGCGATGGTAACAGGAAATTTAAGCCTGAGCATGTTGTTACAAAGGCAATGGTCCAGTCAACATTTGTGTCAAGTTTGATTAGTACTGAAGCAGTTTTTATAGTTTTATAGCAATTTGAACATGTAACGGGAGACTTTTCAATGAAAACAGCCATTTTTCACAAAATGCCCACAAGGTATTGGTTAAAGAGGAAGTCTTTTGAATACTTAGGTCAAAAAGTATAAAATAGACAAACATTTTTCTCTATAAATATGTGATTTGTTTCATCTCATGGCATGAAAATTATCATATATATTCCATACCACTCAATAGACATTATTCATGTCCTAATAGAAAAAAAACTCCTTTATATATTTAATTGTATTTTCATTCATTAGAATCGGAAGACAATGAGTGAGCACGAGGAGCTGTACCTTTATGGAGGGATGGACATTAACATGCCGGAAGTAGAACATATTGATAGAAACGATATCTCGTTTGAAGGTATTATAAAGGACGGCCATTTTGCAAGAATCTACAAAGCCACATGGAGGACAAGCCGAGGAGAAAACACAGTTGTCGCCAAAACATTAAAAGGTTTGTTACAGCACTAATTAAAATGTCCAGTATATAAAAATGCATATGAATGGTAAAAATACCTTTAAACGGTTTGCTGATGTGGCATTTATAACTTTCTACATGTTAATTATTAATGATCAAGCTATTTAGGTACCGCTGTACATGCATGTCTTTAAAAAATTGCTTATTCAACGTCTTGTCTTGGTATTCTTATTTTGCGTCATTCTAGCACTTTTTTGTGGCGTACCTATGAAAATGGAATATGTTGATACACAGAGGTACATTTTTAATGTGCAACATGACAGATACATTTTTAATATGTGTGAATCTTTTATTGTCCAACATCATGTTGGATGCTACAGATTTCTCTGTTGCTGACAGGTGTTGCTCTAAACAGATTCAATTGATTATTTAATTTCATGCCTTACTAGCATTGTAGTATAAGTATTGATAAGGTTGTTGTTGAGAGATTATTGTTGTACAGAGGGCGGCTATGCAAAGGTTGCATTGTGAATTTATATTGACACATTATTGTCTGTAATTATAGATAAGTTCACACCAAATGATGAAATGTTGATGAGAGCCAAGATCAACTTCACCGGTACAGTGGTTGGTAGCCATCCCAACGTCTTGAAATTCCTAGGAGCTGTTGTTGGCGATGAACAAAGTAAGTAATAAAAAACTATTAGGCAATCATCATGCTATATCGGTGATATCCGTGTTTTTTTTACATTTTAGCTGACTTTGTGAATGTGAACGTACAGAGATTAAATTATATCTTAGATGACAGAAATAACTATTCATATTCTGATTTGCGGTTGTTTGAAAATGTGCTTTGTATTTAAAATGGAAAATTTTCTTTTGGCAAAATCGTTGTAAACATAAGGTAGTACATATCAGCATCATCGGTAAATTTCGATAATTGTTGTTTTCACTGAAAAGATATTTAAATATATTAAAGGAACTCCACTGAGGTTCAAAAGACTAAAAACATAAAATTTGAATTTCTTACATAGATGAGTTGCATGGGGCACTTAAAATAGCAAGATATGCAAAAGATAATTAGGAAATGTAGTCAGAAATAAATAGAAAATCATATTTTTAATGTTATTCCTTGCCCAATTGAGTGAAAAGCTTTGCAGTTTTGGGTAAATTTTCATAATTAGAATTATCAATTTGAAAAAAGGCATGAGTGTATGATCTGAAATTTTGGATAAAAGTTTTTGGTCTAGACCAAATGATCTCGAACTAAAAATATTTCTAGTCACCTTATGTCAAAACAAACACAGTGGAGTCACTTTAAAACACATTTAAGCATAGTTTCTGTTCTTTTACTAAAAAGATATATAAATATATTGAACTTTACATTTTTATCTATATTTATTTTTCTTAGATTATAGCTACATAATTCAAACTAAAATTATATTACTTCAGTGGTATTCGTAATTTTCGTTTTTCTGCCAAGTATGAAAAAAAATGATTGAAAAAAAAACTATAAACATGTAAAAGTAGTGTATGTTTACTAACAAGTAATTACATGTTGTATTTTGTAGTGGGTCCATTTATTGTGTATGAGTACTGTGAGAATGGTACATTAAAAGACTATCTTGTACAAAACAAGAACAACGTTACCATCGAGTTACAAGAACACCTGTATAGATTCGGTCTTGATGTCGCAAAGGGAATGGAATATTTGGCTAGTAAAGGGGTATGTGGCAATACACAGTTTTTGAAAGCCAAAGTTTAATTAACGCTTTATTATTGAGTAAAAAGTTTATCTTTGGGAAAAATTGTCACTTGAATGCATTAAGTATGTATTGGGAATTTTAAAACATGCATTATTTTCTATCCTAAAATGTTTTCAGCATTGAACATAACATAGAAAACAGAGAGTGAATTAATAATAAATACTGCAAGTTTGTAATGTTGCTATTGGATAACCGTGACGTTTATATAAACTATATGCATAGCTGCTTTGAATTAATGAAGTGTTTTCATGTTTCCCTCTCAAAAAGGGGGAAGTTTGCTGTATTATAAATTCAATATAAAGATATTTGAGAGGTTATATGGCCATAAATAAACGGGTTTTTGCAATAAAACCCTTGCAACACAGTTCGGGTTATATAAAGAGTCACCTGTTTTTAAAAGGCCATATAATCTTTCAAAAATTATTTTATTTATAATATATTGTATTATATTATATTACATTATATTACATTATATAGATCGTTCATAGACGTCTTGCTGCAAGAAACATTTTACTGACTTTCTTAAACGAGATCAAGATTAGTGGATTTGGACCGCAGCCCGACGAATCTTCTGATGGTGACTCGGAAAAACAGGTAAATACAGTTTTGTCATCTGCGTCTTGTATATTTTGGAATGCTTTCATGAATACAGAACTCTATTTAATTTCATTTTATTCAGTAAACAAAAGTTTGTCTTGTATTCAATCATCGACAAGGAAAAACAACAACAATATAAAAATGTAATGAAATAAACACTTTTGATTGGTGATGAATAAAATTTGCCGTCTGCTTCAAATGAACAGTGACATTAAGGAAACAGTTCATTTGTTTCAAACTTTTGTTCTTGGGAATTGAACTATTATTGATATGCACAAAAGATTTTTTAACATTTTTGATGTAAAGTAAAATAACAAAAAGCTCAAATAATTTGATATTTAGATATAAAGAATTATTTGTTTAAAAAAGTTTCTATATGGTCAAGATGAGGTACTAATTGATGTTACTCCTAGATTAAGAAATAAAACAGTTGCAATATACATAGCCATATTTTATTGTTGGTTTTAACTTTTCGAGTCTTTTAATTCAATTTTCCATTTCATAACGATGATTTGAAATAAAGGATATTTTTTCACATTTTTTTATTTTACCTTTTATGTTTTTTGTTGTTTTTTTCTCACAAATTAAATCTTTTCTAGCTTAAATTTAAAAGTTAAACCTTACGATTTGAACGAAGCCATTTTTTAGACACAACAATTGGGCTTATTTCACATGTAGTTTCAAATGTGTTCATTCCAGGAGCGTATTCCAATAAAATGGGTAGCCCCAGAATGTATGACGTCAACAAAGGACGCCACAGAAAGAAGTGACATATGGTCGTATGCTGTCGTGCTATGGGAAATATTTACTTTAGGTACATCTTATAGTTTACAAATGAAATTGAAGAAGAAAAAACAACGGAAATTTAAATTTGAAAAAATACGCTTACAATGTAAAAACATGCAAGTAAATAAGTAACAATAATAAGTTTTCATAACTTTTTTTCTATCAAATTTGTACCAAGACAAGCAGCAAAGGTTTGTCCTTGATTGAATCATAAACTGTATATTATTTCTTGATCATTTTTTCTTTCAGGCGAAACGCCATATGCAAAGATGAGGAGCCGTCAACTTCCGGTAAGCCTCAAGAAAGGCGAGCGTCTACCTAAACCCGAGCAGTGTGATGACACGTAAGTATTTTAAATATTTATGAAATATATTTTCTTAATATAATTACAGCAGAACCTTTAGATATATATAAAAGGGAATCATCTATGAAGCAATGTTATTAGAAATAATTGATTTAATTTAGTTCTTCTACAATTCATTTTCATAATAACATGCAGGGCAAACAGCAAAGCCAATCTATGTTTCTTATCAATTGTTTGTCCACATTCGGAGCTGATTTATGAAAGAAGAGAGCATTCAATAAAATTAGTTTTCTTCTCACTTATACCTTTGAAGTTAGTTAGTTTTTGTTTAGTTGTTGGTATTGTTGTTCTTTTCCTTTTTGAGGGGCAAGGGAGGGGCATGATGGAGAGTTTGCTTTGGTTTACAGTTGTCAAGATATTTTACTGACCATTTGTGTTTAAAATTAAAATCTATATGCCTACAGCTGACTTGATGCTTACTTCAATTCTAACATTATATATGATATAATATGATTAATCTAATTATTTCTTTAGCTGGTATGGCGTTATGAAGAGATGTTGGGAGTATGACCCGCACAACAGACCACTGTTTGTAGACGTGAGATCTGAGCTGGATGAAATGTTTGTGGCGTCCCCTGGTGACGATTACTACTACTACAAACGTTAAATTTTGTATATAAAAAACTATTCCGTGTATTGGATATATGTGCAAATATTACAAATTGAATGATTCAAGGAGAGATAAAAATTGCATTTCAAAGACCTTATGTTAAACTCTGAAATATCTTGCTGGGAATAAAAACAGACTTTTGTCACCAGAAAAGGGTCATAACTACACATACATCCGATTATAAATTTAAAAAAAAAAACCAAGAACTTTGGTATATTTGAATAACACAAGGCAAAAGTTTACATCTTGTTTTTGTTTTGTTTTTTCAAAGATATAAACATGTATTTTTTACTCTAATCAACCAGGTAGATCTATTATATGAACTTTTGATAATATTTTTGTTACATTTTTTTTTAAATGGCATAATGTGAATTATTGCTAATTTTGTAAAACGTTGAAAGCTGCATAACTCCAGATAAACCAAAATATTTCAAGAAAATCAACTTTGAGAAAAGACTTCTAAATTTGAAGTTTAGCAACAATATTCCAGATAAAGTTATGATTTACATGTTATGTGCAATTATTGACTGATTTTGAAGTGTTCTTCTGCGTAACTAACGCAGTAAGGGCTTTTTTGTATATATTGAAAACGTGTACTGTAAGTGATCTTTGTAATGTTAAAATTACTTTTTTTGTTTGCTAAACAATAATTTACCAATTAGCATGAATCTGGAGGCATGCAGCTTTAAGATTATTTACATCTAGACTAAATTATTTCATTCATTCACTTGACATTTTTTTTACTATTTACAAACACTTTCAGATTTCTCATTACTTGTATAGCATTAATTTGTTACTTGAAAGCTATTATTTCATACAACAATGACTGGGGATATTAGATTAATGTATTGTCTGCCCATCTCTTTGTGAAATACAGTACACGTATTTTATTCATTATAATGAGGATAAGATCAAGTCGTTGAAATGCGTCCCCTGGCTTATTTTAAAGACCCTGTAACACAATTTTTCATATGGTTTTATATCATAAATCTAATGCTCAAATGAAGATTTATCAATATTGTAAGTTTCAAAAAGCATTATTTGTAAACATATTACCCAATTAAACATTTTATGTAAATAAAGGGAGGTAATTAGAAATTAATTTTCGATATAAGTCTACGCCAATTTTTTTTCAATAAAAAATGAATGCATTTATTTAAATGTTTGATAATAATGTGCATAAAGTTTTGCTGTATACAAGTATATTTAACATGTTCTTGTATGTTTGGAAATTGTTTTAGAAGAATAATTGTATCCACATACAAAACTTCACTTAACTGTATGTTACATCCTTAATTACAACATACAGGATCTTTAATAAACATGGCAAGAAACATTTTCGTTAAAGGCCCATTATGCCCCAGAAATGCTTTTTATTCCTAATTTTGAAAACCTTTTATTTTTGTTGTAATTTTTTTAGGTCCCAAAAAGTTAATCAATGCCAGTTCAAAGAACTATCTTTTTCTCCTGTTGCTTTTTGGCAAATAGTACAGTTTATAGAGAATAAGTATTGTGCATGGAAGTTAAGATACTCCTTTGTTTACATTTTGAACTTTCAGGGGACAGATTATTTCACATTAAAGCGTTTCTAGTATTTTCTTCAGTAAAAAAGTTAATCAATGCCAGTTCAAAGAACTATCTTTTTCGTAAACATTTATTCGTTTGTGAGGTAAAATGTGCCTTCGAAAATATTTTGATATGTTATATGACCCAATATAAATGACTGTAAGCAATATATAGATTATGATATACTACAATTTCTAAGAGAAAAAAGACGAAAATTAATACTTCATTAGTTAGCAACAGTCGATGGTATATTTTGAACAAATCTTTTCTTCAAGTTTTTATATGCACTGATACAAATAAAATCTCGAATCTAAATATGAAATTGTATATTATGTAACTGTTTTGCAAGTGATATATGACCAAGTAAACTAGATATACTAAAATGTGAATAACTAGAGTGATTAACCAGTTAATTGTTCTAAGTTTATATATATACAACTAATTATATATACATGTATATTGGAGGAGCTTCAGTATTAACAATAATAATGTTCACTACTGTTATGTTTCGATCAATCGCATCTTCTCGGCCCTTTCCGTCAAACTTCGGATGAAAAATACTGCATGTCGAGGTATTCCGAGAGAATTCCAATAATACTGCAACATTTTTTTAACAACCGGTAGTTTAGTTATTTGATAAGCATATGTTACGTTATCAGACAAGTATACCAAAACAAAATAAGTATACTTGTCCGACATAACACTTGACTGAATTGAAATCTTTTTCATAAAAAGTGGTTGTTATACACTTTTTATGAAATAGATTTCAATTCAGTCAAGTGTTATGTTGTGACATTGTTTAACACTACAATGATACATGTACACATTTGGGGAGGGAAATGGGTATAGGGTGGTCATGAGTTTTAGAAATCAATTAAAAAAAAGAACGTGGGATATAGGCCATTTATCAAACTTTCTTCAACAGGTTATTCCTCTGAATACCAAAAATGAACATAAATATTATAAGCTATAAAGATTTTTGACAGGTTATATTGCAAACAACCTTTTATGTACGCCCATATATCCGGTAAGAAAAATTTATAGCTAATTTATAATACATAAAGCATTTTTTTAAGAGAAAAAATTATAAAACGTTATAAATCGACAGCAGCCACATATATAGTTTATATAACCGCCACGAGTGTCCAATGAAAAGAGATGTTACAAATTTGCAATATTTAAAGTTATGTAGTAATTCACTACGTATAATCTGTTTTATATGTGACATCATTTTGTAAGGTTTCTACATTTCTTTATATATCTTCATATCCATAAACATAATCCTGATGAAGAATTATTGTCGCATACTTATATAAATTACATTTTAACTAAAATCAGTCATTAATATCATGTATTTGTTTATATTGAACTGTATAAAATTTACATTAAAAACCTATCTAACATTATGTACATATTATTCACTGTTCATTGTTTTAGTACTTGTTGTAAAACTGCTATACTTTAGAAATAAACTCTTTTAAATGAATCTGTTGTTTAAGAATTGTTAATTTCACGATAGTAGTGTAACAGATTCTAGTGGGTTGCCGTGTAACAGATTCTAGCCCATTGCCTATCAAAGAATCTTGTGCATTGCTATGTAACAGATTTTGGTGCATTGCCGTGTAGCAGATTCTAGTGTATTGCCCTTTAACAGATTTTTAGTGCATAGCAGTATAACAGATTCTAGTACATTGCCGTATAACAGATTTTTAGGCAATGCCATGCAGCAGATTATAGTGTATTGTCGTATAACATATTCTAGTGCATTGCCGTAAAACACATTCTAGCACATTGTCGTATAACGGATTCTAGTGCATTGCCGTATATCAGATTCTGGAACATTGCCGCATAACAGATTAAAGTGCATTGCAGTATAGCAGATTCTAGCACATTGCCGCATACCAGATTGTCAAGAAAAATGACTGCCTTGATGTTATTTAATCTAAGAAAAGATTTCGTTATAAATACTTAAACCAATTTCCAAGATATGGGGTGGACAGCACCGCCTGACATAAAATTGAAATATTCTAAGTTGGAAAACTAGCATGTAATTGTTTGGTTAACGCTATTTATTTTTTAGATATTTTTATCTATTTAAATCTCAAATCAATATATACATTTAAACAACAAACTCTGACTATTATTTACACCCAAAACAACGAACTCTGATCATTATTTACACCCAAAACAAACACACATCATTTATCAGCCACTTATACGAAATATCTTTTCACGTATACGTCTTTTATAAGAAACAATACTAGACACCTGGCGAGCCCAAACTCTAAACAACTTGTTTAATTAAACAACACAATAAAATCACCAAAAAATGAAGAATACAGAAATGACTATTTTCTACATATCTAAGATACACTATAAAACAGATAAATACAGAATCCCTGAAGAAAGCCCAACACGGCAAAATTGAAAATGTTGCAGGCTCGGTTTGATTGAGCCTGCTCATGGACGGTACTGGAAAGTGCAAGTTACCATCCACGCCCCCTAGCACCGGCTTAAGCAGAATTCAACATTTAAACATGAAATAGTAAAATTTTGAATTTAGAAACATCCGCAGATGTGTTCATACGGCGGTTATCATGGAACCTTCAATGTGACACTTCCGTGCCATTCCATGAAAAGCGGCGTATGGTCCCTAAGTAATAAAAAGCGTGTGCCCTAAACGAGAAAACAATGGGCGGAACTAAATAAAATGGAATTTTGAAAGGGGATCAGAGGTTATGAAGCCTGCGTATCACAGATAAAACGTCAAAAGACAAATTTAAAAAGCAAGATACATAATATTGGAACCACCCAACTAGAAAATGTCGAAAAGTTGAAACTAAAAATACCACAAGCACAACAATAATGTCGTGCTGAACGATCTTCAAGGATCGAAAATATAACATCATTGATTAAATGTACGGGGAGACTTTTTACAGATGCCACACGGCACAAATAACACGGATGTGATCATAGAACAGATAAACACAGAATCCCTGAAGAAAGCCCAACTCGGCAAAGTTGAAAATGTTGCAGGCTCGGTTTGATTGAGCCTGTTCATGGACGGTACTGGAAAGTGCAAGTTACCGTCCACGCCCCCTAGCACCGGCTTAAGCAGAATTCAAAATTTAAACATGAAATAGTAAAATTTTGAATTTAGAAACATCCGCAGATGTGTTCATACGGCGGTTATCATGGAACCTTCAATGTGACACTTCCGTGCCATTCCATGAAAAGCGGCGTATGGTCCCCAAGTAATAAAAAGCGTGTACCCTAAACGAGAAAACAATGGGCGGAACTAAATAAAATGGAATTTTGAAAGGGGATCAGAGGTTATGAAGCCTGCGTATCACAGATAAGACGTCAAAAGATAAATTTAAAAAGCAGGATACATATCCTAAGGGTGATTCAACATTATTCAAGTAGGAATATTGGAACCACCCAACTAGAAAATGTCTAAAAGTTGAAACTAAAAATACCACAAGCACAACAATAATGTCGTGCTGAACGATTTTCAAGGATCGAAAATATAACATCATTGATTAAATGTACGGGGAGACTTTTTACAGACGTCACACGGCACAAATAACCACAAACATTTAACCAACAATATTAACTTCACAAACTCTAATCAGCATCAGAAAAGCAAACTAAAGTACTCAATATTTACATTTATCCGCAAAACAAAGCATCAACTAATATAATCTTGACTAAACATACATTCAACCAATTTCAACCAAATATTTATTACCAAACAGATATAACTCAACAACCAAAACAACTAATTACAACCAATAAACCCTGATCAATCAAGATCACTACAATAACATTCAACCAACTTCAACAAATTAACAAAACTCCCTTCAAAACAACAAATTCTCTTCTCAACAAAAAAAATAACCGCTACACCCTATCAGCGTGTCTCTCCTAACTGATTAAAATCTCTCTCAAAACTCGCATATTTTTCTGTTTTAGAGTAAAGAGAAATTAATATACGCACAGCAAAAGGTTTACATTGAAATATGATACATGTAGTGTACATTCAGTGTATTGCTGTAGGAAAACATTAACTCTTTGTAAAAAATATCTACAGTGAAACTGTATGATTATTCTGACAGCCCAAAACTCAAGAAAAAAAATCCAATGTTTTTAAGAAAATGAATAATCTACAATATCTCTTTTCAGGCATCGAGTTTACTTAGGTAATCTGCACACACGTTGTCCTTTCCTTTCACAGCTACTATTCTAAACTTAGAGTTCTGTAGAAATAATGCTCATCTCATTATGCGGCCACTTTCGACTTTACACTTCTAAATATATGTTAAAGGAACATGGTCTGTATGTAGCGCAAATTCTTTCCCGTACGAATATTTGTTGAATTTCTTTATTCCAAATACCATCGCAAGACATTCCCTTTCAATAACCGAGTAGTTTCTTTCTCTATTCAGCAGTTCCTTACTCGCGTCAGCTTTTGGAAGCAGATCATCATCAAACTGTTGAAAAAGTGCAGCTTCAACTCCTGTGTCTGAAGCATCACATTGCAAAATAAATGACTTTGAAAAGTC